GGAACGGCCTCTGTAAACAAAAAATATCCACGAAAGTTTGTTATATCTGTGGCGGGAAAGGAGTCACTTTCTGTTGTCAGGACTAACAGAAATCATTGCAGTATTGCTCTAAAAACCAGGTGGGCATATTTGCAGTCCACGAGCAGTGATTCTGTTAATCTCAACCATGAAGCACAATTCCACCTAAACCAGTTTGTCTTTTAATTTAATAAATAATTCAACCCCTATCTATATGATATGTATGTTTGATTTGGTCTCATTGACTGGGATTGAGGTGTTCATGTATCGCTTTCTGGAATTCATTTTTATTAAGTTAATCTCGTACCTGTGTTTACTCAGGCAGTACATGAGTTATATCACCATCTTAACTCAAAAATTGGGCTGTCACAAATCGAGAAACAAAAAAGAAATCAAATAAGATAAACCAAAAGTGCAAAAGACTCTGATCAGGAGATAGATTTTTTTATTATGTAGATCAACTCACCTGCCAACTCTTGTCTCAACTCTTGTTCGGTCGACTGCAAATCTAGAGCAGTTTTTGTGAGCTGAGATACTAATGTTTCCAGCTCCGAGTTACGCGATTCCAGCTGTTGTATGGAACCTTTTACGGTGTCCAACATTGCTTGCGCGTGATTCGCTCGCTCTCTTTCATTCAACTCTTTCATTTCCAACAGAGCGACACGTTGAGCTATGTGTTGAGATTGTGCGGGCAGCTCCGATTCATTGACCTAAAACACAAAAGAAATGCTATCTTGTCAAACCAGATGCTATCATGATCGATTAAGAGTATCTGGTTATGGGCATTCAAAACAGGGACTTTGCATATGAAAACGATTATGTTGATTTGCTCTTATGGGAGTAAGTGTGCCTATGTCTTGGTACCAAATTACGGCATCGATGAAAACGACCAAAAACCCGTTCGATGGACCATTATGTAAGCCGAATTTTCACCACACCTCGTGCAACGATTACACCCTGTAGGCGGCTTAATAAATCCACAGTGAGGGAGCTGGCAGTTCATTCCATCAAATGCAAGTCATTTACATGGGTTAAAATCACAACCAAGAAAGAGACCAATCCTTCTAACTCATAAGTGTCGACGAGCAGCTCTTTCAAAAGTTCGCCACTGATAACCATACGGAATAAAGATAAACTACCGATGTTGATCGCTTCAATGATCGTTTACTCGCTCGAATGCATTTGTGATGCACTCTGCGTTAGTCGTACGGCACAGCAGTTATTTGTCCGTATGAAAGAATACCATATGCGCTCTCAGAGTCGAGGTGGTTCCCGATCTATCACAAGTGTGATTCTGCCTCACTTGGTAGACACTGGCCATTGTGTTAACCCAAGTGAAGCATTCCCCATTATTTATCAGGTCACCCGAACCGGTCCGAATACGTTAGAATGCGTACGTTGGCCATAGCGTTTGACCCCCCAAACCATGGGCCCAGAAGCGTCTTATCCAAGCTCTCTATCTCCCCTGGGTTCGCGAACACACTCCTCCCCCATGCCTCCTTCCCTGCCCGCAAACAAACATTTTCAGGCAACAACACCGATCCCTCAGAACTGGGTCACACGACCTTCGTGACATAACTCGAAACCCCCGGAAGCACAGATCTGAGAATGCGGTGTGCAACACACAAACAAAGACACGTATGCACGAAGTAACGATTCCTCGCATTTTATTGTTCTCCTCCCAGCCCTTAGGATTTTCCCCTCATATTTACTGTAACGANATTATGAGTTACTGAAAACAACTGTTTGCCTGAAATTGTTCTTTATTTACCGATCCCTTTATAGCACCTGAAAACTCCGTTAACCGGATCAGTTAGAACTCTCTCTCTCTTTCTTCAGAACGCTCTCAATTTATCACATTCTCTGAGCATTCTACTTCCAAAAGGTGAGAAAATAGTCGTTAATTTATACAAACATTTAAATGCAACTCAATGGAGCATCAAACCTCAGAAAATGTGGGCTGATTTATTCATTAGAAATAATTTTATTCATTTAATAAACAGCTATCAAGAACAGTATACCAAAAATGTCATCATCTCATTGCCAGCGATAAATTTATCCGCTGTATTCGAACAAGCTTTGAACTGAAACCCACCGATTTATCCGGATTTCGATTTGCTTGCAGCTCAAGCACACACCTTCGCTCTTTCTCTATACCTAGCTGCGCCTTTAGTGCCTCGTGTTGCTCACGTAGTTTGCGCAATTCCTCTTCCGTTCGCTGTAAAGCTGAACTGGTTTCCGAGGCGCTAGCACGGCGATCCATCTGCTCCCGAAATTTGCCAGCCATTTGTTCATATTCACGAATCAGGCGTTCATGATCTACACGGGGAATGCTTCTGTCCAGGGATTGATGCAGATTGGCTAGTTGAAAGGCTGTCTTCTCTTTGTACCGTGCATAATAACCTAGGCGTGCGGTCACGGCAGATTCCAATTGGATCAAGTCACTTTTGAGGTTGATGTTTTCCTGAAAATGGAAAAAACAGATATAATTGCAGCTTTGAAATTCCATAAAGTGCTTTCAGGTTGAAATAATCCTGCAAAGTCATGCAGTTGTAATTTTTCCTAGAATGGCTCATGAAAAACTTGGTTTCATTTGGAAAACCCAACACACAATGATACGTTTATATCATCTTCGTTCCTCTACAAATGTAACAAATTAAAAATGAATCCAAACTATTTAATCAGCAATATCCTTTTATAACAAAACATGAAGCTGCTATTTCCTCTTACCTGAGGTGTAGCTTAAATGCTCTAGAAATTTTATAAAATGTAGGTAATGCAGGCTGGTAGGATGTCTCTAGTCGCGTAGCCGCTTCTTCTCTTGCCACGTAATAATGTCAGATCCATGGTTGTTTTACCACTGTGCTAAATGTTCCACAGTCTCGAATTCAACTGATTTCTTGTCTTTTTTTTGCTTTCAAGAATTTTGGTCAAATCAAAATATTCCAAACAATCGTGCGTGTCAATAAATTTGACCGCTTACATCAAGAAAGGAAACAATCTGTAAAAACGAATTTTCGTGGTGTTATAACGTATACCAGTGTCAAATGACCCGGCAGATCTAAAGTGATCTGAAGGTTATTCCACAAATGGTAATGATTGACAATCAAATGGTACCCAAAACTTCCAACGTTCCAGGATGAGTAATATAAACGTCACTGCGTTCCGCATACAGTGTTTTCAATGATGCACTTTACTCCTTTTACTTTCTGAAGGTTTAAGCATAATTTTTGGAGACTTCTACTTGACGCCTACTAAGTTGATGCTTAATTTTGGTTTGCATCACTTCTCCTTTGTCAAAACTGGAGGTGACGATTTTTAAGATACAGTTGTTATTGGTCACCTGGAACCTCCTTATACATAGCAAAAAGCCCTTGTCCCTACTGGTGATTACTACTTCACTGCATTTCACACCTAAAACATTCTCCTCCAAAGCATTTCTTTCATGTAAGAACTAAACAGCCGAAGATCACATACAGAAAACTATCTTGATACAACATTGATATTCTTAAAGGTACTGTAGCCATTACTGTCTCGTTGTTCTCCATTTGCACACTGGGACCATTTATGAATACACTTATGTTCTCCCTTGAGAGCAAACCACTTGCATTAACAGCCTAACATCTGAAATGTCTGACAAGACGAAAGGAAAATGTACACAAAAGGCGAGATCATGCGTCAGTCGAACTGGACCTCTTATCAAGCATGTGATCAAAAGCTTGATTTTTAATTCACACAGCAGTGTGTCCTACCCACTTTAATGTAATTCAACACTTTTTATCTTTTTTGTTTTTCTCAAGAAACAAATCCACACACTACACCAAGGTTTAGCAGCCGAAAAATGTATCTTACTTATCCCCTGAGATAACGGCATCAAACTTCTCTGTGATCACTATATCGGAACCGGTGAAACATTTCCAAACAGAATTCTCACTGACAGCACACATGCAGTACGCCATAGTTTACCTGCATGTCACTCATATATATCCGTACAATCATCACTACAAACTTATTGCGATTGAATTAAACGTTCACCTTGATGTTCCAGTATTCTTTATACCATTAACTTTTCGTTGACAAAGTGAAGGTGTCAGATGAATTTTGTAGGAACCCCAAAATTGAAACCAATTGCAGGAATGCCGTAGATATGTGTGTCCCTTTCTCATCGTGAGTTACCGCGCTACCTATCACTGAGAAAAATGGAGGCGGTGAAAGGGCGTTTCGTTCAACTCGTGCAGAATTGTCAGTCGCAAGCACCAAACAGATTCATCAAGATATCAATCCCAGCTACATTGATACTGCAGAGTGCTTTTAATGTTTCCCGTCAAGAGCCTGGGTTACGTGATATTGCACTATTCTGGCATTGCCTCTGAATTCCCTGAACTTAACTCAACGGTCATCGACTAACGGATATACTGTCCTAATTTCTACAATATCATTTGAACGAATTTTCTGAAAATTGGATCTAACGTAAAATATAAGCAGCATGTTGGGGGATTCGCGAGCGGCCCTGGCTCGAGGAAGTTAATTCCCAAATGGAGAGGTCCATACCGCATAGTTGAAGAACGCCATCCCGTGTACAAAATTCAACGGATGAACGAAGTCCGTCGTGTACATCGGAACGATCTCGCAACATGGCA